TACTTGAAGGAAAGAGTGGGAAGGGTAATTGGGCACCTGGCACACACTTAAACTGTGGTAGACGACAGCACATCAGAAGACACGCTTCAAGAGGAAGTTATGCTGCGCACAATCTGATGATCGGTGACGAAAGCCTAATTTTACTCCTATTTCTCTTCCTTACCCTTTTCTTGTAAGAAAAGGAAAGTGGATTTGACACAGAGGAAGGGTAAATATTCTCTTTCTATGACTACCACTGTTGATATTATTTCAGGAAGGGTGTATACTACCTGAGTATAGCAGCCGCAGCGTTTCTGGTGATGATAATAGCGCTGGCTGTGCTGCGTGTGGTGGTCTTCTGCCTTGTGTGGCTGCTCACGCTCTCCCGGCATCATCTCTGGCTGCTGCCCAACCTCACCGAGGATGTTGGCTTCTTTGCTTCCTTCTGGCCGCTTTATAAGGTATACTGACGAGACTGCGACGTGACAGTAGCGAGAGGGCGACGTGACAGTAGCGAGAGGGCGACGTGACAGTACAGAGACGTCGACGTGACAGTAGAGAGACGGCGACGTGACACTAGAGAGACGGCGATGGACAATAGAGAGACAGCGACGTAATGGGAATGTCTTGCGGAAATGATTACTCGCTAGTAAAAAACCATTTTTTGATAATAAATATATTATCTATTTACTTATTTATTTAATTAAAAATTAAAAACTTTTTTTAACTTAAGGTCATGTGTATTTCAGTATGAATACCGCGGGCCTGGTTCCGAGAGTGATAAGTCATCAAAGAGCAAGAAGAAGCGCAAGAAAGACAAGGTGTCTGATGATGAGGAGGAGAAGACGCCCCTCCTCACAGAGGAACCTCCTCCCGCAGCTCCTGTGGTAGAGGAGACCTTACCCAAGGAGGAGGAGGAACCCAAGTACGTAAGCAGTTCTGACCCTGTAGTAAGGTTATCCTGACTTAACGTAACCTGATTACTATCTACAAATATGTTTAACCTATAGTTACATATAATTAAGTAAAAAATAGGCCTGTATTAAACTGTAAAGCCTTACTTATTGGCCTATGCTCTCTTCCAGTCTCTGAATCATCAGTCATGAACATCTGAATCAAATTTCATCAAGATCCGTCGTTAATATACTTCGCCGTTCCGGAAATACTTTGAAAAATCCATCCATCCATCCATCTTAACTTTCGCATTTATAATATTAGTAAGATTATTAAAAATCTTGTCCCTTTCATGTATTAAACATAAAATATATAATTCCAGAGAAGAGATCGCGGAAGCTGCTTCCGCGGATAAACTATCGGAGTCAGAATCTGAGAACAGTCAGCGTTCCTCCACTGACCGGGACTTCGAGATGGTGGAGCCCGGAGACATCGAGGGCGGGGACACGCCCCCCGGGGAACACGCCCCACACTCTTAGGACTACGCCCCATAAAGGCCCAGATTTACATTTCTCCAATAACCAACTACCTTAGCGTCTTAATATCTGTTACGCAAGGCTCGTATTGGAAAATGGATCTTATAATTAGGGTTTTATCTCTAAAAACCCAAAAATTCTATATTCTAGTTGATTAAATTTAATCTATATTTAAAAAAAACTAGGATTTCATATGAAATTACGCACCAGAATCGTATAGGCCGTTTTATAAATTGATGGAAATGTATAGAAATATGTTTCAATTTAAAAATAAATCATTTTTAATATAAAAATATAATATTTTTGTGAGACATTTTTATTGTATATTTGTGTTTAATTGGACTTAGAGAATGTAATTATTAAAATTTCAAAGGTTTGATAATCAGAATGTTTAAAATTATCATGTTTTTTTTAACTGATTTTAATATGACTACATTTAATTTATATATGTTTTCATTCATCAAGCATATTAAGAAATACTTTTGCTTTTTAAATTACAATAAAACGATTTTTACATTATGTATATAAATATATTATATACAATTAATAATTATATATTTATCAATACATAAATGTTTGACTATCTACTTATGTGCAATGTTTTAAATCATTCACCAGAATCTTCACAGAAGAAACAGTTATGACAACTCAAAAATGCCGGTCCCTGCGATGTACCGGTTTTCACTAATCGGTTTTGAAAATCTGATATTGTTTATAACTTTAATTTAATGTTAGTATAAACAATCCTTTTATTAAAATGAAAATAGAAATTGTTTCAGCAAATAAATTATAAAGTTAATTAAAATAAATATTGATAGTAATTACGTATTATTTTGGTCTCTACTGTGTCTGTGCGTAAAGGAATACAGTCGAACCAAAATAAACGAAAGTCTAAGGAACCACGACATTTTCTCGCTTTCTAACTAGAGATTCTCGCTTATGGAGGGTCGTCTGACACTAGACAATGTTTCTCGCGTATCCAGGTATGACTAATAACAAAAGTATTTGACCACGGGTATAACCTCGGACTTGCACTGTCGGAAGTGTACAAAATATTATTAGTTTAAATGTTTCAAGGAGAAAGCGATCATAGTACAGTCTAACATTTATAAGCGAGAGTTCAAAGGACAGAGATCTCGCTCGTGGAAGTTTCTCGCTAATGGAGTTCGTCAGGACCGGATAACTCTCGCTTATAGAGGTTTCTCAGGTATCCATGTTTGACTTCGTATTTGTGCAGGTTTTTCCGCAGTGTAAAATCTACGGTAAGGTTTATAGCTTGAGACATTACATCTATTTAACTCTCGTCTAACTCTTCCTTAATTTTTCTGTCTCCACTGCAAATAGACGTGTTTGAAAACAAGTTCTAAACTTTTTCCTATGTCCCAACTATGAACCTATTGATTTAGTGTCGAGGTTATTTTGAAAATTTATTAATCATATTTATTATATAAAATATTTGTTATGCTATAAATTATTTATGTTGATTGAAATCGATTATTTTATTTATCTTCAATTTTTGGTGCTTTCAGTAATAACAAACAGGCTTATAATCGTTCGGTATCTGCATTTTTTTATTTTAAGGGATTTATCGGTTTTGAATAAAGTGAAGATTTTATTATGAGTAAAATTGACAATGGAAATTATAATTTGAGCACGTACCTACGGTATGGTTGAATGGCAAATAGTTATGGAGGGAAATACATATACGGCGGTCATAACCAAGAAAAACATGCTGGCTGCCTAACAGATTTTCTTATACAAAAACAATATGTCAGTTCGAAATTTGACACGCCAAATTCAAATTTTAAATTTCGAATGTTGTTGCTTTTATTATTCACTCGAAAGAGCAGGCAAAGGAACTAAGCCATACAAAATGTCTTATGACGTTTCAAATCAGAAAGGCAAAGGCGTTACGAATATTCTGCCGATGCGTTGTGATGTTTTTTTTTAATTTGCATTTCATTCATAATATGTGTTTTTATGTAAATATATGTTCCTTTATCGTATAGTATATAATTGGTGTCTTACGACTGTATTATTGACGTTGTGCAACGTTAACGAAATAAAACAATATACTCTTTTTAATCTTGTTTCATTTTCCCTTTCCAATATGTTATATTATGCTCGAATTATACGAGAAAAAAAAAACAATTAAGTATAATAGTTTTTAATATCAAAATAACACTTACAAACTAAATATAAACTTGTTATGTAGATACAGTTTTTAAATGCTGTATTTAAATTTCTATAATCAAGATTATGGCGTTTTAAATTCAGTTTTATAATTTGTTTGCCTGATTTAAGCTTTTACAGTGGTAATATTTAAATAATTTCAGAAATGGATATATTTTTTTTCCTAACCTTAAAACTAAAAATAATTCAGGTATTTTGAAACATGTTTTCCAATAAAATAGGGTTTAAAAAGTTTGTCAGTTTTTATTAAAATTAGAGATTTCCTCGTTTTTCTTGTTCAAGTTCAATGGATTCGAAGAGTGTTTTAAAGTTGCCAGCTCCAAATCCCTGAAAAGGAACAAAATGACGCCATCTTTCAATCGGTGTTAATTTAATTTAATCTTTGGTGTTACGTTACAGTTAGTAACACATTTTTGGTCTATAAATGTAGGTAAATAATTTTTTTATAATGTTCTCGCATAAGTGGATACTTTGAAAACTGTCACCGGTTCGGATCAACGAGGGACATTCACCAAGCATTTTGATATTTGTGTACAATGTCACTCACTGTTTGGGATACATCTCATGCGTCTGGTCAACTTATATCAACTAGTCAACTTATATAACCGACAAGAACTAGCGACTTGCAAGTTGCAAACAGTCGACAGTGCATTGAGATGTTACTTACATTATGATTTCTCCTTTGTATAACCTCAAGGAACAGTGTGGGCCGGTCCTGCGTGTTCTTAGTGAATATCTGCAGTAGATAGCCGTCGTCGTCGTAGTCTATTAGTATGTTGAGTCTTTCCAGTACATCAATGCTCTCGGCGACGCGAACTTTGCTCTCTTTCAGACGTTCTCTTATTATTCTGTAGTACTCTGATGGTATGGACAGGAATTCTACACCGCGCGCTCGAAGATTCTCGATCTGTTGATAGTAAAGAAATATTACTACACTTTGAAATTTTGGAATGATGTAAGGAAACAACAGCATGGCTACACTTTGTACAGGGTGCTTCTTTGACCATAAATCACCTTTAAAGTAATATCTGAAAGTCAACAATCGCAAAAGAAGCCGACTGTACTTTAGTGTTGCATCATAATGTTTTTAATAAAAGCTAGAGACCGAAAAATTGTGACCCGGTGGGCATAAGTCAAACTAAATTATGACAGCTCACTAGCGCCCCTCAGTCAATAACAAAAAACTGTCACAAAATCCTTTTCGTTTTTGACTTTAATGACATTTTTATGATCACGTAACATTTGCATATTTTGTGATAGCACTAACTCTACAACAGCGCATCTGTACCGGCTCAGATATCCATGTTCTCTATGTTCATGTATAAATACAAAGAGTCGTGTATTTAAAATCAAATATGTATCGTATATGAACAATTCATCTCATTGTTTATCATGGGGTAGTCTTACCGCAGTAATAATATCTTCAGTGTTAATAGCGATATGCTGCACCCCAGCGCCTCCGTGATATTCCACGTACTCCTGTATCTGGCTCTTCTTTTTGCCGGGCGCGGGCTCATTGATAGGCATTTTGACGTTCTCTTCCCAATTCGCCATCACGATAGAACGTAGCGCGGAATAATCCGTGCAAACTTGCTTGTCGTCCACGGACCAGAATCTGGATGGATATAAAACCTTTTTATTATCTGTGAGTGTACATATGCTTTGAAAGGCTTTGGAACTAACAAAGTATCCCATCAAAGTCTAATCGAAATCGGTTCAGCCCTTCCTGAGATTACCCGGAACATACGCGTAATGTCGTACGAAATGTGTACGAATTTCTTTTTAATATTACATACAGACACGGCAATATCTTTTATAGATAATTCTTTTGTGAGATGTTAGATGGTACTAATATTGTTACTGCAAAGCTAAAAACAATTTAGTCGTTAAATGGTAATCTAACCTGTGAAACTGCAGACATCTCTCGTACCATGATGCAGCAACCTCCATGCCCTGGTCCGGCTGGTTGCCCACCACATGGTCCACGAAGTTAATCTCCACTTTAGGTCTGTTCGAACCAAAGATATTTAATTGTAAATCTGCTATAGAGCGGACATTAAAAGCGCTTTACAATTATTTCTATCATAATCATAGAAAACAAATGCCAATTTTGGTTACAAGTCGTGGATTACAATTTGGGCTGTATTGTCCCCAATCTATACTAATATTATAAAGCGGAAGATTTTGTTTAAATGCGCTTATATCAAGAACTACTGGTCCATTTTGAAAAATTCTTTTTTTGTTGGATAGTCCATTCATAGAGGAAGGCTTTAGGCTATATAACATTAGGCTGCGACCAATAGTTGTTTTTAAATTCCGCGCGGACGGAGTCGCTGGCGTCAGGTACTTTATTGATGCAATGTCTAGATTAAACAGTATATTTTTTAACTCAGGTTACTCACAAAAAGTTACTGATTGGATCCTTGTTGAGAGTGACGTAGCCCGGCAGGAATGATCCTTCGTAGTTAGATCGATCCACTAATGTGTGCGTGTTGTCGCCATACTGAAATACATTAACAAAGATATGTAGCTTTCGGTCTTAGTATGTAGTATTACCCTTCGTATGTTGACAACGATCCATAGAGAGCTTTTGTTACTTTTGCATCAAGAGAAAATGGAAAATTGCAAATATTGCAAACCACTCTATGTGTACCATTTTCAATATTTTAATTTAATGTAATAAAATATGCTATATAGTCTTACCGTCTTCAATGTAGCCATTCTAACAACTCCAAACTCGTCAGTTTCTTCCCAAAGATCTTTAACCACGACAGCTCCTTGTGTCCTCGCGTATTCCAGAATGTAATCCAGGTTTTCAACTTCGAACGCCACATCTTTGACGAAGTCACCGTGGTATCCGACCTCTTTCACCAAATCTGAATCTTCCGGATCGTATTGCGCTTCGAAAACGAACACAATCTGAAAGTTTGTTAGTTATTTCACAGAAGGCAGATCAGAAAAAACACTGTTTGAAAAAAAAAACAAAATCCTAATGTCTCGTTTGATCCCCATCGCATTTTATGATTAACTGTCTCCGAGCGAATTTCCTTCTATGCTTCTTCCTTCTACGAAAATTCTGACTATGCTCTACGCCTATGTCAAACT